ACAGGTTTGTACGATGTCATACAACTCCACAGCTGCCTTAGAAAATAAATCCCACCTGCATGCTTCAAATAATAAATACGTGCCACACCAGAAGTTATTGTTCTGTTTATCACATAGTCTGTTTTTGAACAAAGCAGTGTTCCAAATACAAACTGTTAATACAGATAGGAAAGAACTGTTTATTAGCTGAAGTCATTCTAACTGATTAAAATTTGCAGACCACATCTGGATGAAAACGTTTAACACTGGTCAGTAAGACCTAACCTGCAAATAGCCATGGTACAACTCCACAGACTTAAATTCAGCACATGAATTGGGATTTTTTTTTTTTTGAAAAGAAGAAATCAGACAAATATCTCAAAGAACCCTGGACAAGCCCCACATCGGAGTTAGTCATAAAAATAGCAAATACAAAGGTCAAATTTACTGTCATTTATGGGAAATATCTCAATTTATTCCCCCTGCTTCAAAGAGCGACACCAACAGTCTGCAGAGATATTGCACAAACGTTTACACTGTAAAAGCAGAAAGAGCAAATTCTGTTCTCACTTACACACACAAACACACAGGCACTCAACGTCAATGCAGCCTGCAGATTTTGTATATCGGCAAATCATACTCACATACAGCAGAGAGCAGTCTTAAAATACACCACCAAAGGCATGTCTTCATTTGAAACTGATCAGCAGTTCAAGAAGAAATAAATTTCCAGTCAGACACAACACAAGCAGTGCTCACAGGAACACAAAGTCAACCGTGGAGTGTCTTGAAATAAAAATGTAGTATGAAATCACTCATTTTGTGATGACGGCACACAATAGGAGGGCCAGGGAAGTGCAACAGCACCTGAGGTACAGACGAGCCGTGAACTGCAGCGGTCTGAGTGTGCAAATTAAAAAAAAAAAGTGTGCCAAAGTGTCATGTGTTGGCTTCCACAGCAGAGAGCACGGCTACGGTATGCAGAGAAGAAGACAATAGCTTACAGGTCCTGCTCTGCTCTTTATAGGTGACAATTCTTACACAGGACAGGAGGGTTACATGTTAAGCCACACTGCAATAAGGCTGCATCCCTGGAGAAACATCTTTCTACATTTGACATCTAATCTCCAACTTCTCATCAATTTTAAGATGCATCATCACACAATAACTCAATCACCCAAAGTGGGAATGTTTAAGATTTAATTTAATACCATGAGAAAGAGAAAAGCAAAGAAACTCTGTAACTTAATCCAGTATCATAAAGATATTTAAAAATCAACATAAAATCCTGTGAGATTTTGATATCGAACCTCCAAGCAGTCGCTCGCTGTCTTGGTTGACATTAGTTTTCCGTTCGACCTCATCACCGAGTCTCATTGGAGGAATAAAGTATATGAACAGGGCCACCTAGTGGGCACAAAGGTTATGCCTGCAAGATAATCCGTTTGAGTTTTGAAGAATTGAACCTAAACAGTGACACACTGTATGAATTCATAAGTTAAGACTGTGGGATTGTCAGAGATGCCTTGAAGCAAAAGCACAACTGGGGTTAATACTCTGTCAAACAAATTAAGTTTTGAGATCAAACTATCGAGATTTGATTCAATCTGAACAACATTAAATGGTTTGAAGGTAAAACATCACCGATACACAATGTCACACTATTATATCGTCAGCTGGTATTGAAACACCGTACAGATGATTACCATTTGAGATGTTAAAAATAATTCAAAGGTTACGTCTTCCCCTGACCAAATCCCATCACTCCTTCAGCCCCCATCAGTCACAATCCAGATACGTCACACTTCCATCACTGGCCACCACCTTCCCCCCTTTCTTGCTGTCATCCTTGCGCCAGACAGCGTCAGTTCTATCCGTTGTTGTGGAGAGCTGGTGACCAGTGCATGATGGGAGATGTAGGAAAAGCAGAAAGGCAGAGACGAGTGTGTCCACGAGGACGAGGCAGCGACATCACATGATTTCACAGCATGAGTTCTGTTTCCGTGCCTGAAGGATTCATATGAACACACATGCACATAGGTCAGGCACTTGAACAGCGACTGGAAAACAGCATGACAATCCAATATGAATAAAGATGAGTCATCAATACTCACAGTCTTGTAGAAGGCTTTGGACTGGTTTCCCAGATGTTCCGACTTTGCCACGAGATCGTCCAGCTTCTCTCCTCTATCCAACAAACTTTCCATGGTGTTGTGCTACATGAAACAAAATATTTGTTTCAGAAACTTGAGCAGTATAAAGATTATGACCTGACAAGTGCTCAGGAAATGCTACATCATTTTTTAGGCATGTAGAGCGAGTCGCAAATTGGTCAATTAAACTGATGCATTGGTAACTGAGACCATTCTGAAGACTATAAATGTCTAGTGGTGAGGCCCAGATCTCATGGCTGAGAAGAAACTGCTGAAGTTGATCTCACTCTATCTGTGTGATTTACATATCCTAGGTTTGTTCTGCTAGAATGGAAAATGAAGAAAAAACGAATTCTCTGAGTACTGTGCATATTTTTCCGCCAGTTGATTTGTGTTTTGAGAGGTTTCTCACCAAAATGATCTTTGTCTCATCCAGCTCTGCCTGCACTTTGGTCATTGCATCTGCTTCCCTGGGGTTCTGGGATCAAAAACACAAAAAACAAACCGACAAGCTGTCAGCTACATAGGTTGTATTTTCAGCATTTTATGAAAAAGCCACGAACAAATATGCTCCAGTATATAGGTGTGTGTGTGTGTGTGTGTGTGTGTGTGTTAGTACACTGCATGTGCAACCTCTGCAGCTGTTTTCTTTGAGCTATACCTGATACCTGAAATCTCATAATTTTCCTTCATGCCACTGTTCTGTTTTATAATGTTAATAGTCTTTTATTTCATTTATCACTTGAAGGCTACTCACTGTTGTTCTTTGTCTGTTCAGATATTTTTATAAAGGAGAGTGTGATGAAGTAAATGGGATTTATTGTTCTGTTTTTGTCCATGGTATTGAATTGGGTATCGAGAATCACCGAAATTTTATGGTATCGACTACTAAATCTTTAGTATCGTGACCCTACTCAGTATTATTGACTAAACAATATTAAATGAATTGAGAAATTCAGATACTCTGAAGGCATTTAATTGAATCTGATTTCGTTCTCAGCTCATAATGAGGCTCCCTCTGATGTATTTTCTAATAAACAGATTACATACACACTGACCTGGTATTTAGAAAGATGACTATCTAGGGCTGCGTAGGTTATGGTACCAGGGTTACCAGAGGGCCAGTCTATACTGTCCACTGTCCTGGAGAATTCATCGAGTACCTGAAAAAACAAACAGATATCTCAGTATTGACGCTGACAACGACGTGCAATAATAATAATAATGCATCTTTATGGACATGTTTTTGTACCCACTTTTTCCAGCAATGTGAAACAGACTCTCTGTGGGTATTCAGTATCTGCGATGACCACGGCACCCAGGTTGTCATTTCTCACATACACATGGCACAAGTACTCTGAAAGAAAGAGAAACCACCATGTGCCACCATCAAAATGAAAGTGACTTAAAAATTGTTTCTTTTCTGGATGAAAATCTGCTTCATTTGACATTAAAATAAACTAAGTGTTGTTTCTACTTTTTAGACTGCTACTAATCTTTTTACCTTGTTCTTTGACAGAGGCACGGCTTCCTTGGGATGTTCGCTCAACGATCAAGGCACTGGTGAAGGTCATGAACTCCTGAATACTAAACAAACCAAAACAACACGTAGTAAGAGATACATAGATGATAGATAGATACTTGAATGATCCTGGGGGAACTTTAGGCTTCCAGTATCACACAAAACAGTCATAAGCATAAGAATAACAAAAGGTCAAAATCAGAGAAACCAAAGAATAAGTTCACTGCAGTGAGATGAAGGTCTCACCACCAGAACTACTACTAAGCTGTCACTGTAAAGAAGTATGTGATGGAGATATTGACAAAACAAATATTTGAAGTACCAGGTGATGGAAAGACACAAGTAACCGAGGCAGAGTATTGAAGCCACATATTAGTACAGCTTTAGAGATAAATAACTTAAGTGCTACAAAGTCCTGCATTATAGTAACATACAGCAGATGTAAGTGTACAACTTAAAATATAAAACTAGAGATATAGAAAATATAAAAGTTAAAGGTCCAGTGTGTAAGATTTAGGTGAAAGGAATCTATTGGCAGAAGTTTAATGTTCAATAATCCTCATGATGTTTTCACTTGTTTGTTTCATCTAAATTATATGAATCGTAGTTTTCTTTACCCCAGAAAAGACCCTTTATATTCAAATACTTCATATTTACAGGGAGGGGACCCTCTCTACGGAGGCCGCCATGTTTTTTACATTAGTCCAGACTGGACAAACTAAACACCTTTTGAGTTTTTATGACAATGAAAGTCTACCACAGTTTCTCTTTCATGTTTGGAAGGAGAGGGTGAGGTGAGGGGTGTTCAGCTGCAACATGACACTTCAACACTAGATATCACAACATTCTACACACTGTACCTTTGAGATAAACACAGTGTACCTGCAGGGATTCAGGTGGAAAGCACAGGAATGAAAACACAGCAGCATAAAGAAGGTGTGGTGGTGGTGACGCACCTGGAGCGCTGGAAGAAGCTGAAGGAGGACAGGTCGTAGGCCGCTTTGAGGAGGTTGGACTTGGATGCTCCTTTGTAAATGATGCTGAGGCTGTAGAGCTTCATGCTGCCGCCGTCACTCGCTCACACACTCCCTCACCCTGATGATCCGATTTGGGAGACGACACAAGCAGAATCACATGAGAGCGTTATCCCCCCCCGCCCCCCATCCAGCTCAGAAACTTAAGAGACTCAGCTGACAAGTGAAAGTAAACGCATTGTTTGGAGCTAACAAGCTAACCGGCTAATGCTAGTCACGCTCGGGTTCATTGAGTGTCTACCTCCAGGCTAACATGGACTGGTTGACTGACGGCGATCTGTGCTAGCTCACCGCAGACTGACAACCGCGTGAACCGGGTTTAAAAAGAGTGTAAACACACAGGAATCAAGCGAAGCTCGGGGCTAGCTGCAGTTACCCGGGGCCTCGGTGAACTTACCAGACGAATCCGCAGCAAAACAGTTCGAGTCGCGACGAAAACAAAGCAACAAACTTCTCACTCCGCACGAACCGAGTGTTCTCGATGTGAAAGGACTCGAGTCCGGAGGCCTGATCACGAAGGAGTTCACGCTAAGTTGCTAAATTCCGAGGTGCAGCTCAGTGACCAATCACCACGTCACGATCCTCACACGGTCCGACCGGAAATCTGTTCCGGTGCAAACAAAGACGCTGCTGTTTCTCATAGTTCCCAGTAGACGAGGTAAAATGAAATGTCATCGCATTCAAATGTTAAAAGTTATAATTAATATGAATCTGGGAAGAATCGCAAACCCCCCAAAAGTGCAATGAATAAATAATGTTGGTTCTGTGGGATATTTATGAAAAACTGTGCTTTTGCATACGCATTGATTAGTTCAGCCCACAGAAGTGTGACAGTGAAAAGTTGACATTCAATGATATAATTACACTGAAACACTGATGCGAGTAAACACGGAAACTGGTTCATGTTCCAGAGAAACACACCTCATTTTTTGTGAAGTAATTATAATTCAGGTCAAGTGTCTACTTTTCTCATATAGTTATCTTAAAAAAAAAGATACAATTTTAACGTTACAGTTAATATGTGTGTAAAATTATAATTTCAATATGGTGAATTTAAGAATATTGTTTATTAGTATGAGTACCCAGTGCATTCATCTTCAACTCTGTTCTATTTTTTCGCATATAATTTAGTAATGTAATTAATAAACTATCATGAATGCTATTTTTGTGATGATGATGTTTATTATTTTTATTTTTATGATTCTTATTGTTATACTAATCATTATTCTTATTATCTTCATTCTTATTATTCGTATTACTCTTATTATTATTGTTTGGTCTAAAAGTGTGAAACAGCTTGGTGTCCTGTGAGTCTCGTGTTTTGGCGACAAAAACAAGCCCCCCTGAGCTGCCCTCCCCTGATGTTTTCTTTGGTGATCTTGCTCCATTTAACAATGTCCTCCGGCCACTTAACTCAGTGGTTAAGTGTTTTCCATGGTAGAAGTGTCCGTAATTCATTTCCAAGGTAACCCACTGAAACCCGTTTGACATGGAAACGGCTTAGCCTCCCGGTGCATCTGTTCCCCAGTTGCTGCCACATCAGGGGAGGAGGAAATCACTTTTCTTTCCGGGAACAGTTCAATAGATATTGAGGTAACAGTGTTAGTGAGAAGTTCAGCTGTAGAACCAGAGGTCATCTTCATTTTTTCTTTTCTCAAATTTTGATGCTCTAAAATTATATTGTTTCATCAGTGGGATGAAGGCTTGGATGGAAAACTCAGTCTTCTCCCTCGTCTGACTGACTGATGGAGCTGATGATGGCAAAGGCAATGCGTCCATGGGGATATTTTTAACTGGACCAGTTAACAGCAAGAATGAAGACAAATCCACAGGTTTTTATTTAGATGACAATTACAGAGATGAAGATAAATACATTTTTTATTTGATGTCTTTAAGACTGAAAATAAAAGCATTTATTTTTCATTACATCTGAATAAGGATGAAGATTTGTCATTGTTTTTCCTATCTGCACGAATCAAGGCAAATCCATTTGGTTTTTATGAAACTTATCTACTCCTAAACTTTTCATTTCACAATTTAAACTGCCGCAGATATCGGCCTGTGTGTTTGAAACTAGCTGCTGAACATTATGTAGATCAAACATTTTGGGAACATAATGTTTGGACAGTTTCCCATAAAGGTTTAGTGTTTTGTTTGCTCTTCATACACGTGAGTGAAAACATCAACAACTGAAACTTGGGAATTTCCTCAACTCCTGAAGAAAGAGTGAACATCCACTGCAAAGCACTGATGGTCGAGAGGACACTTGAGATTTAATCCTCGTCGTGATACGATGGATAAGGTAAGATAGAAAAAGCATTTCGATTTATTTCATGAAAGTTCAAGTTTTTGTGTTAATGTTGACATATGGCTCATGCTGAGCACATCTATTCATCCATCTATCTATCTATCTTTCTATCTATCCATCTATCTATCTATCTCTCT